TGCATCAGGTTGAGGAATTCTGGGAGTTGTAGTCTCAGGCACCTGTAGTGCATCAGGTTGAGGAATTCTGGGAGTTGTAGTCTCAGGCACCTGTAGTGCATCAGGTTGAGGAATTCTGGGAGTTGTACTCTCAGGCACCTGTAGTGCATCAGGTTGAGGAATTCTGGGAGTTGTAGTCTCAGGCACCTGTAGTGCATCAAGTTGAGGAATTCTGGGAGTTGTAATCTCAGGCACCTGGAGTGCATCAGGTTGAGGAATTCTGGGAGTTGTAGTCTCAGGATACCTGGAGGGCATCAAGTTAAGGAATTCTAGGAGTTGTAGTCTGCATATCTGGAAGGCATCAGGTTAGGAAATTCTGGAAGTTGTAGTCTTGGCCCACCTGGAAGGTGTCAGGTTAAGGAACTCTGGGAACTGTAGTCTCAGCACACCTGGAGAGCGTCAGATTGGGGAGGAATGGACTAACACGACCATCTGTCTAAGAGTTTTCAACTTCTGACTTTATATTCCAGCTGTATGATAACCATTTCTTGTTGTAAAATCAAGGTGGGGCATCTGATTTAACGGCCTTTATTCCAACATAATTTCAGTGGACAAGAAATGGTATTCCCAGTTCTTGTGGGAAGAACACAGCCTTCCATTCCTGCAGGCGACTGTCCCATCAATGAACTGTCTCTGCATTTGTCTTTTTCTGGAAGTTTTTAAGAAGAGACTGGACAGCCATTTGTCTGAAATGCTATAGGGTTTCCTGCCTGAGCAAGGGGTTGGACTAGAAGACCTCCAAGGTCCCTTCCAACTTTATTATTATTATTATTATGGATCATCGCACAGTCAGCCAGATGTTCAGACTGGATTTGGCATTTTGTCTACCTATCGAGTCCTTCCCAAGGACCTGGGATAGGCAGATGTGGATGTTTGATGGTATTACAGATATCGTCGTCGTCATTATTATTATTATTATTATTATTATTATTATTATTATTATTATTATTATTATTATTATTATTATTATTATTATTATTATATTGTTATTATTGTTGTTGTTGTTATTGTTGTTATTGTTGTTGTTATTATTATTATTATTATTATTGATCATCGCACAGTCAGCCAGATGTTCAGACTGGATTTGGCCTTTTGTCTACCTATTGAGTCCTTCCCAAGGACCTGGGATAGGCAGATGTGGATGTTTGATGGTATTACAGATATCGTCGTCATCGTCATCATCATCATCATCATTATTATTATTATTACTATTATTATTATTATTGCTATTATTGCTATTATTATTATTATTATTATTATTATTATTATTATTATTATTATTATTATTATTATTATTATTATTATTATTATTATTATTATTTCTGCATTGCTGATCTTCCCTCTCTCCCTCTCTCCACCTCCTGCCACAGATCATTCAGCAAGCTGGCCAAGTGTGGTTTCCCGACTCTGCCTTCAAAACCGCAGAAGCTATCAAGGATTTTAATCGGGAGGGACTTCCGCTGATTGTCTTCGCCAACTGGAGAGGTTTCTCAGGTGGAATGAAAGGTGATTATTGTAAAAAAAAAAAAAAGGAGCACGGTGAGAAACGGTGGTGCAGATGACAGAGACAATTGCTGGAATTTAGAGTGGGTTTAGTCACACAGGTAGTCCTTGACTTACGACCACAAATAAGTCCAGAAAGTTCTGTTGCTAAGCAAGGCAGTTAAGTGAATTTCCCCCAATTTTAGGAACTTTTTTTTACCTAAGTGGTTAAGCAAACCACCGCAATTGTTAAGTGAAGCATGTGGTCTTTTAAGTAAATCCAGTCACTATATATCAGTGGTAGTGAACCTATGGCACCCGTGCCAGAGGCGGCACTCAGAGCCCTCCCTGTGGGCACGCGTGCCATGCCCCAGAGATGGCAACCGTCCCTCTTCAACCAGCCACCCGCTAACTCGCCGAGGTCCCACGTGGCCAGATGCACCCCAGTATGGCTGGTTTCCCTCCCCCTGTCCCATCCCTCCTGGCCTCGCATGCTCTCCTTTTCCCGGGCAGCTTCTCTGAACTGCTGGTGGCGGGCTGCGGAGCCCCAGAGTGAGGGGCCGGCTGGCTGTAGCTGCTGACGGACACTGTCAGCCCCCATGTGCTCGCTGGCCTCTGTGTGCGGGGGGCGATGGTGTCAGGCAGCGGCCGCCCCGGCCCCTGCCTCGCCTTGCCCTGCGACAATGGCACCCCCACCCTGCCTCGCCTTGCCTCGCCTCACTCCACAGGGCGAGCCTCCTGCCCACCCCTCCACCTGCCAGATACCCCTTGGATCTCCTCCAACCCTGCCCACCCCCCACAGGCGTCCCTCCCTACGAGCAACATCAAGGGGACCAGGCCCACCTTGGCCAAACCCACCCAGTCTGCCATGACCAGCACAGCCACGCCCACCCAGTGGGCCACGCCCACGTGGCACCCGGCGATAAATAAGTGGGTTTTGGGTTGCAGTTTGGGCACTCGGTCTCTAAAAGGTTCGCCATCACTGCTACATATGAATGATTGTAAGTCGAGGACTACTGGTATTCTTGTCTCATGTAAAGGAAATCAGGTTAGGTTAACTGGGCACGCTTGTATGAGACCACAAAGCCCATTAATGGCAATGGAAAGATTCGGTCTGATGGATTTTCTATATGTCAATGTTTAGCTACTTAGCCCCTGTTTTACAGGTAGTCCTCAATTTAACGACCACAACACAGCCCAAAATTTCTGTTGCTAAGCAAGACATTGTGAATGTTGCCCCATTTTACAACCTTCCCATGCCACAGTTGTTAAGTGAATCACTGCAGTTGTGACGTTCAGTAACAGGGTTGTTAAGTGAATCTGACTTCTCTATTGACAGCCATTTGTCTGAAATGGTATAGGGTTTCCTGCCTGAGCGGGGGGTTGGACTAGATGACCTCCAAGGTCCCTTCCGACTTTATTATTATTATTATTATTATTATTATTATTATTATTATTATTATTATTATTATTATTACTACTACTACTACTACTACTACTACTACTACTACTTTGCTTGTCAGAAGGTCCCAAAGAGGGGAAGACATGACCCCCAACACGCTGTAACCGTCATAAATACATGCTGTTTGCCAAGCATCCAGATTTCGATCACGTGACCATGGGAATGCTGCAATGGTCCTAAAGTGTGAAAAAACGGTCATAAGTCATGTTTTTTTCAGTACTTTTGTAACTTGGAACAGTCACTAAATGAACGGTTGTAAGTCGAGGACTACCTGAACTCAGTACAGGCAATCCCCAAGGTTGGGGGGTGGAGGGAGGAGAGAGGTATCAGTACGGTCAGTGGGAGAGGCAGATATGGCGGGAGCAGAGGACCATATCAGGTTAGGGGAGCACGCACACGCTATTTACAAGCTTGTGGGTGCTCCGGTCCTCAGGTCTCTACTCGGCCTCCAGGAGACTTAGATCCCCCGGCCCGGGACCATCGGCTGTTGTTATG